GGAGCCAGGTTGGAGCTGCACAATTTCATGTCCATTTTTCCTGGGCTTGTGAATTCCCCTCATTATACAAGGGCATGAGCCAAGGGCCTGTTGTTCAAGATTTACAACTGTGCTTTGTGCATCTCAAGAGCTCATAGACGTTTCCTTTCGGACTCAGTATATCTCTTTATCCTAAATCCCTATGTCATACTGACCAGCTATTCTGTGCTGAGCAATGAAAAGAGCCAGAGATTTCCAAGGTTGGGCTCCAGCCCTCCTCTTAGACAAGCCCAATAATCTAAACCAAGTGCCTGTTTTAGTGTGATCCAAACACTGCTGATAGAGAAGGTGTGATCACTTCCTGATTCCCCACTGACCAGGTCAAGGCCAACTGGCCCCAGCAGACAGATGGGCAGACAAGCTGCTAAGAGTTACACTAGGAGGGCAAGCTGAGGTCCATTTGTTTTTCACAAGACCTGGCCCATCTCATTTAAAAGTGTTTCTTAAGTGGATTTTGTGTTTCATTACATTCGGGCATTCTTCACAGCTCTTAATGGTTTTGAAATGGATTAAATGCAAGTGGAGGGTGGGAGGCTGGGGCACAAGGACCAAACTGCTTTCAGAAATGGATTAAAGTTCTCTAGTGAAGAGATATCCTGTGCACAAATGACCTGGGTACTTTGTAATGTACCCACTGATGGGATTGCTGACCCATGGAAACCAAGGTGGTGAGTGGGTATTGAATAAGCCATTAAATTTGTAAGAATTTGTTCCGCAGAAATATAATGAATATAAATACTTTTAAACTTTTTTTTTTTTTTTGAGGTGCTGGGGTTTGAACCCAGGCCCTTGGAATACTAAACAAGTGCTTTATCACTAAGCTACATCCTCAGCCCAGTGTGATACTATTTTCATAAGGAACAAATTGTTCCTGTTTTTCTATGTCATACTTACTTAGATGTTCTATTGGTCTATTTGTCTCTTATACTAATGCCAGACTGTAGCTTTTTAATAGTTCTGACATTTGGCCTAATAAGTCCTCTCTCTCTCTCTATCATTTTAAAAGAAAACTTGGTGCATTATAGTTGTACGTAGTGATGAGGTGTTTTTTTGTTGCATATTCGTACAAGCACACAATATCACAGTACAATGGGGCCAGTATCACTCCCCAGCACTTCCTGTCTCTATCCCACCTCCCACCCCTTGATCTCTTTCCTCTCCTGATCTCCCTTTGATTTTCATGAAACCCCTCCACAATTTTTCTTTTCCTTTCTCCTTTCTAGCTTCCACATATGAGAGAAAACAGATGACTTATTTCACTTAAACATGATGGTCTCTCGTTCCATTTATTTTCTTGCAAATGACACAATTTCATTTTTCTTTATGGCCGAATAAAACTCCATTGTGGATATACCGCATTTTCTTTTCCCATTCCTCCGTTGTTGGTGGACACCTAGGCTGGTTCCATAGTTTGGCTGCTGTGAATTGTGCTGCTGTAAACCTGGGTATGCAGGTGTCACTGTAGTATGATGGGACCAGCTGCTCTTGATCATTTGTTTGGCTGAATGGGAGTGAACAAAGTGCCACTGGGTTTCCTCATAGATCTGGGCCATTGGCAAAGTCTTCCTCCTGCAGGGGGTGACACTGAGCATTATGTTCCTATTGTTGGTGTACCAGGTGGATATGAGGTCAGCTTTCAGAGAGACACATCCATTTATTATCCCAACTCACAGGGATGAACTGACTCAGCTCTGAATTCTGGCCTCTGCCAGTTGAATAAAATTGTGTTGGTTAAGAAGTTTGGCTTTTTTTTTTCCTCCAGAGAAAAACTAAATAAAATATGAATCTTAGAACAAATGACAGAGCGTTCTGTTCTGAACCAGGATTTATTTATTTATTAATTTATTGGTACCGGGAATTGAACTAAGGAGCACTTAACCACCAAGCCACATCCCCAGCCCTATTTTGTATTTTATTTAGAGACAGTGTCTCACTGAGTTGCGTGCTCCTTGCTAAATTGCTGAGGCTGGCTTTGAACTTGCGATCCTCTTGCCTCAACCTCCCTAGCTGCTGGGATTACAGGCATGTGCCACCGCGCCTGGCTACAAAAACCATATTTCTACATGTACACAATATAATAATGTAATTTAGCTAAAATAATTTCCCAGTTTTCCTCTCCCCCCTTTCCTCTAATGATCTTCCTTTGATTTTTAGGAAACTCTCACCACCCCTCTTTTCCTCCTTTTTCCTCTGGAGCTTTCACATATGAGGGAGAAAACATATGACCCTTGACTTTCTGAGAGTGGCTTATTTTGCTTAACAATATTCTCATCCATTTTCTTTTCTTTTTTTTTTTTTAAGATTCTAAACAGGAAGGCAAGTCCTTTTTCCTTTTTTAAACATTTATTTTTTAGTTTTAGATGGACACAATATCTTTCTTTTTATGTGGTGCTGAGGATCTAACCCAGTGCCTCACGCATGCCAGGCAAGTGCGCTACCACTTGAGCCACATCCCGAGCCCTCATCCATTTTCTTGAAAATGACATAATTTATTGCTGGGAGTCATTAGCCAAGTAGGTATGACAATTTCCTTGCCAGCGTACCCCATGTTGCTTAGTGGAAGGACTCGTGGAAATAGGACATTTTGCAGTGACATTGCATGTAGGTGACCTTGCTCAAGGACCAGGGCGGATCTGGGTTTAGGGCGTTCCCGGTTTAGGACAATCCGGGTTTAGGGTGGTTCCAGGTTTAAGGTTATTCCTGCTGGGAATAGGGCGTATCCTGCTGCTGGAGTTCCCCTTGAGTTCTCACGGGATTCAGACAGTATTTTTTGGGAGACAGAAGCCCAGTGGGTGTGGATTTGGGCAGAGAACGTGGATTTCCCCAGAACGTGATTGTAGACGGCTGGTGTGAGTTCGGGAATAAAGAGTTGCTGTTTGAATCTACAAGCTGTGTGGTGGCTCATGATTTTGTGCCCAGCCAGACTGCGGCAATTTATTCTTCTTTATGGCGGAATATTTTGTTTATCCATTCATCCATTGATGGACACCTAGGCTTCCACAGTTTGGCTGTTGTGAATTGTGATATATGTATACACACACATACATGGGTATGTGTTTAGTCAACTGTGGGCTCATGGTTTCAGATGTCTCAGTTCATAGATAGCTGGCTCCATTCCTCTGGGCTCAAGGGGAGGCAGAACATCATGGCAGAAGAATCTGTTGGAGGAAAGTAACAGGGGAAATGCCACTAGGAAGCAGAGAAGGAGAGGGAGAGGGAGAGGGAGAGGGAGAGGAAGAGAGAGAGAGAGAGAGCGAGCGAGCTGGCACAGTGCTTTACTCAACAAGGACAAAACATAAACCTGAAGGCACACTCCCAATGATCGACCTCCTCCAGCCACACTCAACCTGCCTATAGTTGGCACTCGGTTTATTCATTCAAGTGGATTAATTAATGCACTGATTTGGTTAAAGCTCTTATAATCCAATCAGTTCACCTCTGAAATTTCTTGCATTGTCTCACACATGAACTTTTGGGGGACACCTAAAATCTAACCATAACAGTATGCATGTACTATTATAGTAAGCTGACTTTAATTCTTTATTACATTATTTAGAAAGAGAGAAAAATAATTTTAATATTCTACTCTAAGTAATAAAAAGCACATCCCTGCTGGGGGGATATAACTCATTTGGTAGAGTGCTTGCCTCACATGCACAAGGCCATGGGTTCAATCCCCAGCACCACAAAAAAAAAAAAAAAAAAGCACATCCAACACATTAGTGGTGAGATTTAATATAGTTGCAAAGATTTATTTGGGCCCCATCAATAACTTAGTATACAATTATAAATAATTGTTATTAATGTCAAAAATTTTATATTCAGCAAATAGAATATATTCCATATAGAAAATAATTTAAAAATAAAACAACTTTGTAATTAGAACTATGATGTATACATGACATAAAAGCTGTGGTTTTCAGTTTTAAGGCAAAGGTATATTAGGAACCATTGCTGTTACAGGCAGGAAGGGGTTGAATTCTTGGGAGCAGCAAGGAGTTCCATGACTAATTATTACCTTATTGTTGCATGTCATATTGGATAAGACAAATTTGCCCAATTAATAAATTCTCTAAAGAGAACCTAAATTCATGAAGGTCTAAAGCTCTGTCCTTGTCCCCAGTGCCAATCCAATAACCAGCACATGGTTTTGATAAAAAGGAAAAAGATTTATTGCTTTGCTAGCAAAGGAGAAACACAGGGGACTCCTATCCCAGAGGCTGTGGTTCTGCCCATTAGCAGGAACCCGTGTGTGTGTGTGTGTGTGTGTGTGTGTGTGTGTGTGTGTGTGTGTGTGGAGGGGGGGGGTGGTTAAAGAGGTGATTCAAAGGCTACATTCCATGTGTTCTCTGTTGGAATTTTAATTAACTTGTTAATTTGGGAGATAGTCATCTCTGAGATCTTCTGGTGCCATCCCTGAAGTCTGGATTACTACATTCCTATGGTGGGTGACTGCTCAAGGACAGATAATTCTGCCTAGGATGGGGAAGAAATGTAATCTTGTTTCCCCTGAGATTAGGGAGGGGGAGAGATCAGGGAGGAGCAAGGGGAGGGGGGAGGGAGAGAGAGAGAGAGAAAGAAACTTGTCCATTTAAAAAATAAATTGTAGTAACAGAGCAGCAAGTTCTATATTCAAAGCATAAAGTGGACCATTGCTATGTTAGGAAATTAAAAAGAAATATGAAAGGGTGAAATCAAGACCTTCCACTTGGCCTCAAACACTGAAAAAACTTTTACATTGCCATGTGTTTTAATCCTGCTTCTTGTTGAGTTCCTAGACTAGAGTGCCAAGAACATGCGACCCTTTCTCCTTTCTGACCTTATTTTGCTTGTTCCACTTCGGGATTTCTAAAGTGAAAAGGTCTGGTGCTTTCGGAGGCGTGCCGACAATCTTGCTCTGGGGCTCAAACTGGCGGGCTGGTGCCCTTTGCCAAGCCCTCCCCTACCAAATCTGTTTTGTCTCCTGCTGGGCTGAGTCACATAGAATAGATAGATAGTTTATCAGCACATGTCCTCCAGATCATATTATCTGCTTACAAATATAGCCTGTTAGCGCACAGGCCCGGGAGGCTCCGGGCAGCGCGGCCCTTCCACTGCGGGTGTTGCTCGCGGGTGTAAACAGCCTTGAAGCCGGATCGGCCCTGCGGCCAGACCGCAGACTGTCTGCGCCACCCGCACCAGGGAGGTGAGTGGCGGCCGGTCTCTGTGGCGGCGGCGGAGGGATGTTAGAGGAGCAGGTGGGTGGGCTGTCCTGCTGCGAGGGGAGAGGCGTGTACCCTGCTGGATGGTTGCCGGTGGCCGCGCGCTTAGTGGCTCCGGTCTCCCCGGTGCACGGTGAGCTCAGCCAGATTGCTGACGGGACATCATCCCCCCAAACACTGCGGAGGTAGTCATCCATGTCTATTTTAGTTCAAGAACTAAAATTGAGTGGGGCACTGGGAGAGCGAATGGGGCTCGTAGGTGCCATCCGTGGGGCGCATCCGTGGGGCTGCTCCCGTGGCAGGGTCCCCACGAACCCTGCTCCTGGATGATGGGTTACTCTGAGCGCACTGCCCTAGTGTCCAAGGCTGAGCTCAATCTGCTCCAAAGTTCTGTCCAGGAGTGATAAATCAAATTTGTTTGTGTCTTTTTCAGGGCGTTGAGAAGTATGATTGACACCTGATGGGAGCGGGGGTGGGGAGGCCAGGCAGTCTTTCCTTCCTGAAAGCTTCTCCCGCCCTCTGGCAGGGGGCGCGAAAGGGGTGGGGCGAGGGTGAAAAGTGATCCCAGGGAGATTTAAGCAGCCCTGTTGCGCCCACTGCTCTGCCGGGGTCTACCTACCAATCTCGTCTTCAAACTCACTAACCACGCAGGGTGAGAAAGCCCTGGATGCCTATGGACCTTTAGGCTTTTATCGTACATTTGATTACTAAAGGTCTGTTATAATTTCTTTTCTTTAAATAACTGACCTTCCTGGTGCTAGACACCATCTAAAGCATTGAACTCAAATGATCACAGTTAGCTCTCTCACTAATTCTGTGAGCTGATGCTGTTGTTCCATTGTGTCCACATCAGAACGGGGAGGACAAGTCCTCAGGGACAGGCGACCAATAAGCCAGAGGCAGAATTCCAACCCAGGCAGTCTGACTCAGACTTGGTCTTCTTAATCCCATCTGTTCCCTGGCCTCCCCTGGCTTGAAACTCTAGTTTAACAAATTACCATCAAAATAATCTGGTGTTTTTTGGGGAAATTTGGATCCTGTAGCATAAAAGTTCATTCAATTCAGAATGTGGCTGCATTGTTTTGACTCTACTGACCTCACTTGGGTGTCATGTCCTGTCCCCCGCCCCCTTCGCCCTGCCTGTCACTTACTCCACTGTTTCACTTTTTCTTTTTTCTTTTTGGTATTGAGGATTGAACTCAGGGCCATATGACCACTGAGCCACATCCCCAGCCCTATTTTAATAGTATTTTATTTAGAGACGGGTCTCACTGAATTGCTTAGTACCTCCCCGTTGCTGAGGCTGGCTTTGAACTCGTGATCCTCCTGCCTCAGCCTCCTGAGCAGCTGGGATTACAAACGTGCGCCTCAGTGTCCAGCGCACTGTTTCTATGAGGAGCACATTCTGCCATCCAACTCTGGGGTCCAGTCAGTGGCCTTGTGTGAGGGAATGGAATTTGTGAGTTATGCAAGCTCCTCATATGGTCCCTATTACACCTTGGTGTCCCTAGCAATTCCTGGAGGCTACAGTCATTCTCTTGAGCTCAGCCAGGCTGTTGACGGGGTCTTCTCCATATGCAGGACACCCCTGAAAGGATGCTGTCGAAGGGCTGGAGCTGCTCAGCCTGAGGGAAGTGGGGAGAGGTGCTGGGGGCACCAAGGGACAGGTGGGTGGGGAGGTGCCTGGTTCAGGTGAACCCTGGTACCTGCTTTGTCTCCCTCCCTTCCTTTCTTTGCTCTTTTCTCTTTCTCAGCTTCACGTAGGGAGCACCAAAAAAAAAAAAAATGGTAGACTTGGTTGAGTCTCCTGTCAGACTCCCCAAGATTTTTCCTGTGCTGTCTGAGGTGCTAGCCTGACACCCACTCCGCACCCTTCCCCCCTGCAGCCCAGTCTGTCATTGGACAGAAAGCCTCCCCCTTCCCCCTGGCATATGACCTCTGAGTGAAGATCACAGATCTGGTGCCAGGGGACATATTTTTCCAGTCATGCCCTCTGGCTCCAGAGTGCAGATGGCTCTGTAGGCAATTCTGATATAACTCAACTGGGGAGGTGGGCAGGAAAGTCCTTCAACCAAACTTGTATGGATGGCCCTTTCCCCTTCCTGCTGGGTCTCTCTGGACCTCTCCTGTCCCCCACCACAGGGCATTGCTCTTCTGGCTCCTGCAGCAGTTGGTTCAGCCTCTGATGTCTAATCAGCATTTGGAGCTGAAATATTCCCTAGTGCACATATTCTCCCTAGATTGGGAACTTGGTCCTGTGGATGGACCTGCGCTCGTCTTTCTGCATTGACATACATGTCAGTTACTGAGGGTTCCCAGGAATGGAACGACAGAAACACACACCAAGTCACTGGCTCAGTGCATGTGTCTCTGTACTGAGGTTCAGAAACAGGAGCCTGGCATCTGCAGCCCTTGTAGGGCTCAAGCCTCCCTCCCCTCCGGGTCTTCCTATCTGCTGCTGGGTGACCTGCTTGGTGTTGACAGGGGACTCCTGTCAGTGAGCTGTGGTTTTTCTATGGTTTGGTTCATGGACAGATAAAACGTAACAACACCCACAAAAATCAAATAATTTGCATTAAGTTCTGTGAAGTAAATAAATAACAGATGGAGAAAATAAGAGGACACTCTCTCCTTGAAATGGGGAGGCCGGGAAGGCCAGACTGAGGAGAGATCCCCAAAGTTTAGAGGGTGTGTGGAGGAAGCCATGTGTGTAGGGAAGGGTGTGGGGAAGGGCATCCGAAGCTGAGGGGACCTTGTAAACAGGGAGGAATGGAGGAAGTGTGGGGAGGACCAGCACTTCCAGCGCCTGTCTACCTGCCAGCTGCGCCTTGTGCAGACTGAGCCCCGTGCTGGTTGCCATCTACACACTGGAGACTGTTGTTGGCAACTGCCAGGCAACGAACAATGAAATCTCAGCTCAGGAGTTGGGACTTAGGAGGTGACCTTGCCTCCAGCCAGCTGTCCAACTTGATTGAGATGCCTGGAGGAGAGATCACATGGTCACCTACCTGGAGGTCAATGGGGCAGAGGGTGGGAACTGACAGCAGCAGACATCCTCCAACCCCCTCCCCACCTCTCTGCCCACCAGGTCTGCCAAGGCTTTCCCCACAGGGCTCACTGCCCCTGTCCTGAGAATGTCTCTAGCAGGTGGCAATTGGTGGTCACATGTCTAGAACTGGAGTCCTGAGAGTGTGGAACAAACCGTCATTGCTGTTTCCCTGTGCAGCCCTTTTGATGCTTCTCCTCAGAACAGGTTTTCTGGCTGGAGGACTGAAAAAGGGAGGTCCAGGAATCTGGAAAGCATCAGAGAGAAAACGGAGCCAGGAAAAAGCAATTTTGTAAGGTTGTTTATGAACTCCTGGGCTGCTCATGAACCTGAACAGGAAGCAGGTCACCACCCACATTCCAGACTGGTCACTGGATGGTGCACACGGAATTTAGCTGAGTGCATTGCCAAGACTGAAAGTGAAGGGACATGGGAATCACAGGAGGCAGATTGGAATTGTGCCTTCACTCAAGTATATTCATTTATTTGGTACCAGAGGCTGAACCCAGGGATGCTTAACCACTGAGTCACATCCCAACCCTTTTTGTTTTAAGACAAAATTAAATTGCTGTGGTTGGCTTTGAACTTGGGATCCTCCTGCTTCGGCTTCCCAAAAGCCTTTTTTCTTATGGAGGTTTAATATAACTAAGGAGTTACATCTACTATTCTACTGAAGAGACTATGTCTGTGTGTGCGCATGTGTTTGTGTGTGCTGTGATTAATTCATTTAACTTATCGTATAGTATATGACAATCTAATGGAAAGATTAGATGCATGTATCAGAAAGTTCCATAGAGTGTGGAGCCATGGGGCTTGGAGAATGCCCGAGGGGCTTTGGGAAGCCAGCTGAGGTGTAGGGGACAGATGTGATGCCCTAGAGGGGCTGGCTTAGGGTGAGTGTTGAATTATGACTTGTGTACAAAGAGTATTACCTGATCATAAGAAACTGCCATTCTGGAAGTCCTAAGGGCATGCCATCATTATTTAAGGCAGGCAATTTCATTTTTAAAGTTCACGTTAAAATTATTTTCTTCTGTGTGCCTGACATATGTATTTTTTTTTTTCAAATAGGTAATTTCATGCTGCCACAATGGGACATAAAGTGGTGGTGTTTGACATTTCTGTTGTCAGAGCCTTGTGGGAAACTCGTGTCAAGAAGCACAAAGCTTGGCAGAAGAAGGAGGCGGAAAGGCTCGAGAAAAGCGCCTTGGAAAAGTATGTGTTTTTGTGCCTGTTGTTCTTGCTTGTTTAGTGAATGACATTCAGGCAGGCCACTGTCGCCTTGGAGGAAGATGCTTTTCCTCTGGGATTTCTCCCTGTCTGCAATACTTTCCTCGTTGAACTTCAGAACCCTGATGCTGTTGCTGAACACATGCACACTCAGCTTCTTAACAGGAACACCCATAATTGCAAGAACCTACATATAATCCAAGCACCATGTTAGACCAGGGGAGACAGGGATGCCCTGGCCATTCCTCTACTGCCAAATGCCATAGACGGTGCTTAGCCAGCCTTCACTGAGCTCACTCACGTAGCTCTCTGATGCTCTCGGCTCTAGCTATGTCTACTGGTGCCCCTGGGGCATCTAGCTCTCTGTCATGCCTCACCTGTTGAGCTGGATCTAGGTAAGATTCATTTGGCACATTTACTTAAATTGAAGTGATGCAATCGGATGAAGTTTCATATAAACTCCTAAAGTATGAGTCAAAGAAAATTATGGACACAAAAACTAAGTTGAGTTAGTGTTTTGGAGAAAGTGCATTCATGGAAGATATGAATTTATGGTGTTGTAGGGACAGATGAGGCAAGGCACCGAAGATAGTAGGAAACAGTTTTATTTGGCTGTAGCCAGGTTCAGAGGGCACAGCTTTTGCTGTAATCAATCAGTCCCCTGAACCCTTAGTTCAGGTGGTTTCAGAATTTTATACCCAGCATGTAAGGGGAGGGGCTCAGAAGTTCACAGTCTGCAGAAGTTCACATAAAAGCAGCTTTTTCTGTCACTGTTTTGGGCAAGTTAACCATTCAAGGTCAACACTTGAGAAGGGGAGAGCTTCTTCTCCCCTTTCTTTCCTCCCCCTGCCAGCTGTTACCATGGAGCCCAATTTGTATCTTCTCTTATCTTAAAAATGTAGACATCTCTGTGAAGCCCAGCTCAAGGCCAGAGGCCTTGTTTACACATTTCTACAAACTACTATACTGGATACAAGTTTGTGAAAAACTAGTAAGGGGGTGTCCAGCACCTGGAGTGTTGATTTCTTCCGGCCGGTGGCCAAGTAAAACAGGGCGACATGAAAATAGGAAGTTTATCCACGTTGAACTCTTTTGCAGAGACTCTTTTGCTGTCAGTCCCAAAATCAGCCATGGTGAAGATTTCTGGAGAATCCCATTTAAGACTTTTCTGTGAAGGAACGGGGTGCCACTACAATGGTAGATTATATAGTGCCAATTAGCAGCGTACAAGATTGATAAATGTATGAGAAGGCGAAAGGTGACTTTGCATATGTGTATAACTTTTATTCTGTGAAGAAATCCAAACCAGAACTCTCGGATGAGGCACTGTGGGTGTGGTTAAGGTGAAATGAGATTCTGATTGGTTGACTAGTTCTCAAAGAAGTCCAGACTCACATCTAGTTGGCAAATGGTGGTATATTTGTCCTCCTTAAGTAAGTGACAAAAGGTATAAGCACCTCTACACAGTTCACACAGGTAGGCTTGACTCTGAATTAGGCTCAGTGTCATTTGGTTTGTGCTGTGCCTCATTTCAATCTAAGACAAAAACCTTCTTGGGGATTTTTAGGCTTTTCCAGCTCAAGGTAAGAAGAGCAGCCCCGAAGTTGGTGGGGCAGGTGAAGAGGAACATGGTGTAGGAGTGTGGAGGGAAATGGGATGTTCAAGAAAGAAATTTTTAGTTTCACAGAACCTTTAGCAACGGTGGAAATAAATTTCTCTTCTTTATAGTTGTATTTGTGTTTCTATAATATAATTCATGATTATTAGTACTATTTGAAAGTTAACTTAGTTTTTTCTTAGAGTCTGTTTCCTGTACAGAAATTAATATATTAAAAACACTGATAAACAGGGCACGGGGGTGCACACCTGTAATCCCAGTGGCTCTGGAGGCTAAGGCAGGAGGATCTCAAGTTCAAAGCCAGCCTCAGCAGTGGTGCTTTGCAACTCAGTGAGACCCTGTCCCTAAATAAAATTCAAAATAGGGCTGGGGATGTGGTTCAGTGGTTAGTGCCCCTGAGTTCAGTCCCCAGTATCAAAAAACAAAAACAAACAAAAACCCCCAAAACACAACAACAATAAACTGATGAATGCCTGATCGTAAAAGGCAATTAACTTGTTAGCTTAAATTTACTAAAATATGTAAAATCCTCCAACTTGTTCTGCTACTTCTCTTCAGAGTATTTATTTCATTTTATACTGCTGTATTTGTCTCATGAATTACATATCAACTCTTAAAAGTTGTAGAGATAAAATACAGAAAACCACTCCATCTAAATGAAACTTAATCATTTAGAGGGAGAAATAAAAGAGCTATTGCCAGGTTCTGAGTGAAGAATTTTTTAGCCAATGAGGGCATTTGCCAGCGGGGCTTGGATCGTGGGCTCATTTCCTAAGGAAAAAAATATTTCAATACACATTTATTGATTTAATGAGTAGAGCTTGCTGGATGCAGGGGCCATAATCCCAGACACTTGGCTGGCTGAAGCAGGAGGATTGAAAATTCGAGGTAGCCCCGGCCCGGGGGCCGCTGCCACCTCCACCGCCTCCCACCATGGCTCTGAAGAGAATCCACAAGGAATTAAATGACCTGGCAAGGGACCCTCCAGCACAGTGTTCTGCAGGTCCTGTTGGAGATGATATGTTCCATTGGCAAGCTACAATAATGGGGCCAAATGACAGTCCCTATCAGGGTGGAGTATTTTTCTTGACAATTCATTTCCCAACAGATTATCCCTTCAAACCACCTAAGGTTGCATTTACAACAAGAATTTATCATCCAAATATTAACAGTAATGGCAGCATTTGTCTCGATATTATACGGTCACAGTGGTCTCCAGCACTAACTATTTCAAAAGTACTCTTGTCCATCTGTTCTCTGTTGTGTGATCCCAATCCAGATGATCCTTTAGTGCCTGAGATTGCTCGGATCTACAAAACAGATAGAGAAAAGTACAACAGAATAGCTCGGGAATGGACTCAGAAGTATGCGATGTAATTAAAGAAATTATTGGATAACCTCTACAAATAAAGATAGGGGAACTCTGAAAGAGAAAGTCCTTTTGATTTCCATTTGACTGCTTTCTATGAGCCCACGCCTCATCTTCCCCTGTGCACATGTTTACCTGATACAGCAGTGCTGCGTGTTGTACATACTTGGAACAACAAACTAGAAATACTGTACTTCTGTACCAACATTGCCTCCTAGCAGAGAAGTGTGTGTGTGACAAGCCAATTCTCCAGGCGAAACCTAGGTGTGAGACTAAACAATTCTCCTTATTGACTTAAATTTGGATAACTACAAGGTGTGAGGAATGGTGGGTGGTACATGGTGTATGCTTGGATGGGGTAAAGCTCCACTGACCTGTAGGAGATTGTTTTTAAGTGGAATCCATTTAAACTCAAAACAGTTATGAAATGAAGAACATGTAGCTGTTTCAGTATTAATTTTATTCCGAAGGACCTACAACTTAGGTGAGAAGGTTATGACCAACCAGATTAAACTCTACCCACATCCTATATTTTAAGGTCTAAGTTTAACTGGTCAGCATTTAAATGGACTGGAGCTATTAGTATATAAAGTGTGATGGGCTTTGTTCCCAACTTCTTTTACATCTCCTTGCCCCTTCAACCTTCGTCCTTTCAGCCCCTTTCTCCATATTCTTTGGTTTGTATGTGGTTTCTCAGTTAATACATAGCTAATAGCTCTTATTTTTCTTATGTTTTTAACTGCTTAGGTCTATTTGGATGTAAGGGTGAAAATTCATTTGATGGAAATACTTGTGTATATTTAAAGACCCAATTGCTCCTGTGGAGCTTGTACGTTCAAGAATGATTAATCTGTGTAATAAACTGATTACTACAGTCATTACATATAAAAAAAAAAAAAAAAAAAGAAAATTCGAGGTAAACCTCAGCAACTTGGCCAGGCCTTGTCACAACATAAAAAATTAAAAGAACCACATCCCCAGCCCTATTTTACATTTTATTTTATTTAGATTGTTGGTGCTCAGTGGTAGAGCACCCCTGGGTTTAATCTCCAGAGCCCCTTCGGGGCCCCAGCAAACTTCCAGCTGCCAGCAAACTTCCAGCTGCCGGCTGATGCTCCAGTATCAAAAATTTAAAAATAAACAAATAAATAAAAATTAGTAGAACACTCTAATGGCATTTGTTTTGTAAATTTATCTCAAATTTGAAGTTCTATGCAAATTAATTCTGGAGAAGATTTCAGATTCAATTATATGGGTGATAAAGCATAAACTTAATGACATTTTATTTATTTTAATTACTCAAGGAAGAGAATGGAAATTTAAGAAATAGTTTATATTCTCATCGTGACTTTTCTTTCATTAGGTTTCAGAAGCAATAAGACAAAACATTTCAAAAAGAAACACAAAGTGTATTTGGTATATAATCCATTCTGAATGGGGTTTGTCTAATTTCCCTTTCTCCATTTGCATTGGCTATACAAAATCTGTGAAATATTTATATCAATTTGCAATTAGTGACATAGGAAAGATGTATTATATAGGGCTTAACAGCCGCCATCTCATTCCATTGCCAAAATTTACCTTAAAGTTCGGTTTAAGAAACAAGGCAAGAAAAGTTAGAGACATGAATCGAGAAGAGTTCTGTGAATACAGCAATTTACAGTGGTGGTGCTATTGGTCATTAACATTTTGGAGGGATCACTTTTTTTTTTTTTGTATTGGGAATTGAACCCAGTGCTTAACCATTGAGCCACATTCCCAGCCATTTTTTTTTTTTTTTTTTTTTTGGTGGTGCTGGGAATTGAACTCAGGGCTTTGTGCATGCAAGGCAAGCACTCTACCAACTAAGCTCTATCCCCAGCCCACCAGCCATTTTTTGTATAATATTTAGAAGCAGGGTGTCGCTGAGGGCCTTGCTGAATTGCTGAGGCTGGCTTTGAACTTGTGATCTTTCTACCTCAGCCTCCTAAACTGCTGGGATTATAGGCATGAACCACTGCTCCAGGCCCAAATTGCTTCTCAAGACCGTGGTGGCCATTCTCCCAGAGAGTGACTGTGGCCTCTGCTCCTGTTTCAGGATAAAGGAGGAGTGGAACTTCGTTGCCGAGTGCAGGAGGAAGGGCATCCCCCAGGCTCAGTACTGTAAGAATGGCTTCATAGACACCAGCGTGAGGCTTCTGGAGAAGATCGAGAGGAACTCGCTCTCCAGGCCGAGCTTACTTGCCAAGGACAAAGGCAAGCAGAGCAACCCATTTGTGTTTGAACTTTCGGGGGAGCACTGGAAGGTGAGTGCAGCCCACTGTCTGCAGGAAGTGGGAGTAACCTGAGCCCCAGGCCTTGGCCTTTAGACAGCTTTCCAGTGGGTAAGCAGGAGCCCATTACCTGCTGTGGACTGGGTTTGCCCATCTTTTCCTCTGAGAAATGGCAGCATAGAAAAGAACAGCAGGATCCTCTTGGACCTCTCTAAGGCTGGGCAGCTGGGACCTTGTGGCCCTCCCTAGGTCAGCATAGTCTATATTTAAAAAAAATTTTTTTTTTTTTGGTACTAGAGATTGAACCTCATGGTGCTTAACCACTGTTCCACATCCCCAGCTCCCCCAGTTTTAAAAAATTATTTATGTATTTATTTTACAGTAGAGTACATTTTGACATATTGTACACAAAAGGAGCACAGTTTCTCATTCCTCTGGTTGTACATGGTTCAGGTTCATTTGGCTTGTGTAATCATACATGTGTATAGGGAAATAATGTCTGTCTCCTCCTACTGTCCTTCCCATCCCCTGACTCCCTCTGAACAATCCAAAGTTCCTTCATTCTTCCCTTATCCCCATCCCCCTTGTCCCTGCCTCCACTATGGATCAGCATCAGTTTATCAGAAAACATTTGGTCTTTGGTTTTTTTGGGATTGGCTTATTTCACTTAGCATGATATTCTCTAGTTCCATCCATTTACCTGTAAATGCCATAATTTCATTTTTCTTTAAGACTGAGTAATATTCCATTGTGTATAGGTACCACATTTTCTTTATCCATTCATCCATGGAAGGACATCTAGTTTGGTTCCATAGTTTCGCTATTGTGAATTGAGCTGCTATAAATATTGATGTGACTGTGTCATTGTAGTATGTTGATTTTAAGTCCTTTGGGTATAAGCAGAGGAGTGGGATAGCTGGGTCAAATCGTGGTTCCATTCCAAGTTTTCTGAGGTGTCTCCATAGTGCTTTCCACAGTGGTTGTACAAATTTGCAGTCCCACCAACAATGTGTGAATGTACCTTTTCCTCCACATCCTCACCAACACTTATTATTGCTTGTATTCTTCATAATTGTCCCCAGCACTTTTTATTTAGACAAGGGTCTCTCTGTGTTGCTTAGGACCTTGCTAAGTTGCTGAGACTTTGACTTTGACTTTGTGATCCTCCAGCCTCAGCCTCCTGGGTGGCTGGGATTACAGGCCTTGTGCCACCGTGCCCAGCATCGCTTTTTGTTCTTTAAATAAGAACTGGTTTCAGGGGCTTTGTGCACACCGAGGACTGGTTCTGATCTACGTCATTCATTCTCTTAGGAGCTGCCCGACTCGTTGAAGGAGCAGACACACCTGAAAGAATGGCACATTTGCAATACCCTGATTCAAATCATTCCTACATACATTGAGCTGTTTCAAGCAATGAGAATTCTGGATCTGCCAAAAAACCAAATCTCATGTCTTCCAGCTGAAATTGGTATGTGTAGCAGGAAACTCCAGCGCTCTTGTCTGTGGTAAGCAGTAAGCTATTGGGCAGGTGACACTGTGCCAATACTGGGTTTCCTCCTCTAAGTGCTTAAGTATGTCACTTAAGTATGTCATTGGGCTATTCCAGGGGTCTCAGAGCTTTGTGTTCACAGTGTCCCCTTGGGCTTCCGTGCTGTGATCTCACCTGCACCACTCAGCTCATAGAGATGTTGGCCAATTGCTCAGAAGGTAGAGGTCTCATAAGTGAACAGAGATTTGCTTAGGAAACTTTTGTTTATCTTCTTTTAGTTTTAGAAATACAAATGTACAGAATTGTGGTTATTGTATAAAGAATTTAAATATATTTTTTCGATATAAATTTAGTTTAGATGATGATGATGATGATGATTCTGGGAATTGAACCCAGGGGTGCTTTACCACTGAGCTACATCCCTGGGCTCTTTTATTTTTTTCTTTTGAGACAGAAATCTTGCTAAGTTATTGAGGGTCTCACTAAGTTGCTGTGACTGGCCTCCAAGTTGCAATCTTCCTGCCTCAGCCTCCATTGTCATTGGGATTACAGGCATGTGCCACGTGTCCGGCATTATTATGTCTTTTTGATAGGTTAGAATTTTATAATTCTCACTAATTTCATTGCTCAGTTGCATTATCTTCAAATGAAGACAACAGTGATCATTTTTGCCCATCTTTCTCCTGGCGTGTGAGAAGCAAAGGTCTCGGGGCTACACTCTCACAATCCACACTGTAGGCCCAGTGAAGTGACATGGTCACCTGAAAATTTGTTGGAAACGAAGACAGAATGGGTCAGAGGTGGCTTTTCAGGCCTCTGGTGTTTGCACATACCTTACCAGGTGTGTCAAGACCACAAGGCCCCTGAACACCCTCTTACCCAGCCTGATCTCAGGATTATTTATGCTGTTGCTAACTTTGAAGGATGAGGTGACGTCTCCCCCAGAGAGCAGGCTTGCTGGCTGCTTGCTGTAAAAGCCCTGTGTTTCCTGAGCTTGGTGTTCTTTAGAGTTACGTGTGCAGAATCTTCCTGGGTCATCTGTATCACCCTGGGTGGACTTGATTATAAAGGGAACCCACGTACGTGTGCTGTCTCTTCTACTAGTGATCCACAAAGCAGGGGAATAGTGTGAAGTCAAAGTCAAGACAAGGCAAGATCAATGCCTCTATTCCTTGCCTGGTTTCTGGAAAGGCAGACAGGAGCTTAGAAGTTTTAGTGCCGAAAAGTTCTAACTTTGACATAAAGGGCCGTTTATCTCCTGCCCCTTCATCTTATAGATTGGAGAAAGCAAGTTCTAGGGAGGTCAGATGACTTGGCCACCATCACTCAGCTTTTGACTTGAGGACTTCTTGAAAGCCTAGTCCAGAGGCCAGATTTTACTATTTCCAGCTCATTTGGGGTCAGGCTCACAGTGCTTATTAGTGACTTAATATAGTTCTTTTTTTTTTTTTGGTGGTGGTAGGGCACTTATCCACTGAGCCACATCCCCACCCCTTTTTAATTGATTTATTTTGAGACAGTTGCCCAGGATGCCCTGGATCCTCCTGCCTCAGCCTCCTGTCTCTGGGATTACAGGCGAGTGCCAACAAGCCTGGCTTGCTTTTGTTCTTAAAGACCCTGAAGGACCTACTCACGGGAGCTTAATTTTTTCTAATGCCAGGTTGTTTGAAGAACCTGAAAGAACTCAATGTGAGTTTCAACCATCTGAAGAGCATTCCTCCAGAACTAGGGGACTGTGAAAATCTAGAAAGACTGGACTGTTCTGGAAATCTGGAATTAATGGAGCTCCCATTTGAAGTAAGATGCAAACATTTCTGCTTTGTGATTTAAATTTCATTCAGTTCTCCATAGGAATGGTCCATGGTGTGGGCAAGAATTTTTAGAAGATAAAATCCATCACATTTTTCTGACATTTCAATTACTTTATGCCCATAATCATAGCATCTTTAAAAATGTTATGAAACTAACCCAGGGCCTACATTTAAGTTTAGAAATGCTATTTTCACACAAGTTATTTTAATTTTATGCCTATTTAATATCTGATGCCTGTCGTCTCTGATGCAGATCCTGATTTATTTCTCCACCACGGCTAAACTGCAGATAAATCCAGGGGTAAAACAATTTTTCATATGCTCCTAGCTGAACTTGTAGATGTCTAGAATTGTCATAGGATTCAAGAAATGTACAGAATTTTAAAAAAGATTCATTTATTTCTTTTGGTCTGTGTTCAGGGAGAAATGATTTTGAATAATTTTTTGATAAAATGGAGAAGATAAAAGTATACAGTTTTCATTGTCAAATAAAACTCAATGAGTTTCCTGTTCTGAAACGGTGAAAGGGTCATACAATTCTGTCAATGAGGAATGGGCTAAAAATGATTATTACTAGTGAGGTCCTGACAGCCCAGCCACCCAGGAAGCGTGTTATTCCCTTTCCTGGGTGGGAGGACGTGGCTGCTTCTGCTGTTAGTACCCATCTCAGTCCAGACAATGTCTGATGCTTGTCCCTGTGAGGGTGCAGAGTTTTGGATTCCCTGCACAGATCTGCTTATCCTCTAGTCTTCCCCAATCCAGGAATGGCTCATTCTTCACTTGGATGTTCTGGCTAAGTACATCAATTCATCCTTGATCTCTCTTGCTCCCATGAGCCATGTATAATCTAAACAAATCCCGTCCAGCTGATCCTTCAGAGTATATCATGTCTGACCACTGCTCATTCATAACCTTTCCCCTAGCACCCTGATCCACCCCAGAGCTGTCTATCATCTGGACTGGGGCAATACCCTGGTAGGCTGCTGTCTCCACCCCTTCTTCTACTCCCCACCCCCCTTCATTGAGGTATGATGTACATGTCATAAAATTTACCCATCCTAAGTGTATAGTTCACCATGATTCAGTTTTAGGATATTTCCTTCACCTATCCCCAAATTTTCCTTTTGCCTACTTGCTATTATTCCCTGCTCTGCCCTCAGCAGTAGGCAACCACAAATCTGTTCATATTTCTGTGAAGCTTATCTTTTCTGGAAATTTCCTAGAAATGGAAATCATGCTGTAGTTTTCTGAGTCTGACTTCTTTCCCTTAGCATGATATTTTTGAAGTTCTTCATTCATGTTATAGCACATATGGATTGAGGGAAGGGTCTAGATTTTGTTTTGTTCCCACCCCTCCTTTTTTTATTTATGAAAGTAGAAGCTCCCTGAGGGCAGCCACAGTGCGTCGTTTATCTTGGAAACCCAGGAAAAGATCCATAGGAGATGCTTCAAAATACATACTGGATTGGTCTGCTTTGCATCGATTCCTAGAGATGCCTTTGAAAAAGAAATGTCAATCTAAAAATTATTAATCGAACTTAATTCCCACTCTTATAACGGTAATTAGAATATTTTGTTATTCCTTTCTAGCTAAGTAATTTGAAGCAAGTTACATTCGTAGATATCTCAGCAAACAAGTTTTCCAGTGTCCCGATCTGTGTCCTGAGGATGTCTAATTTGCAGTGGCTGGATATCAGCAACAATAACCTGAATGACCTGCCACAAGATATAGACAGGTAGCTACTTGCCTGCCGAAGGTGAGGTATATGAATCAGTTACTAACGCCTTAACGCTGTGAACATTGTTAAGATGCATGACACTTGAATATGCTTTGAATCAATTAATTAATCATTTAATCAATCAATTAATTTTTCAGAGTGTATTGCTCCTAGGAAATTATAGAATAAAACAATTTCTAATTGGCATCACACATGTATATGGATACATGCATTTGAGTACCTCTTCACTGTCTTGGCGAACTGTAATTTGCTTCATTCTTTCATAAAACAACACCGTTACCTTTCCATTACTCCATAGAAGTAGAAAATGATTACATATAAAATAGAAACCTATCACTCTATATTTAGAATATTAGTGAGGACAATATTTATTATTTTCATTTACTGATTTTTTATACACAATCTTTCAAACAACCAGTATGCTTGTTTTCAAACTGTATCCTTGTAGTTATTTCATGTTCACAAAATAATTATTATTCTAAAATATATAAGACTGATTGATTGATCGATTAATTTCACCAATATTATCAGGCTCCCATGAGTGGGCTGGGTTTAAAGTGCTAAATGGAACACAATCTCTGGCCTCCTGAATCTACAATCTTATTTATCAAGGGACAGAAGTAAGCTCTTAGGACAGAGGCCAGCAATGGCTGGGGCCTGAGTGCCACCCCAGATGACATTTCCTACTCCTGTACATACAATGTGTAGAATGCTGTCTATGGCATGAGAAGACAGAGCTCAGAGAATTTTTGATGAGAATAACTGGGGACAGTCTAAGTTTGAAACATGAGAGGAACTTTGTGAAATATTTGTGGGATTAGTCACGACTTTGCAAGTGAATGAAAGAAAAATCCAGGGAACAGGATTTCTGGACAAATGGAGGGAGGGTCAGTGAGTTAGAATAAAATGGAAAACAGTTAAATATATTTGGAAAATATTTTGCTCATTTCCTTTTCACTCTGCGGTTGTCTTCCCATTTTAGTGTGAGAATATAATGGTGGGAGAAGAGTAACCATGCTTCTAAACTGTGCGAAAGGAAATCTGTTTCCAAAATCTGTTTGTTCTCATTCTAACACTGGTGTGATTTCTTTCCTGTGCTCTGTTGGCCCTTGGAAATCCAGGAGACACGGAGAGGAAGGGATATACTGGTTTTTGAGGCCCCATGGTGACCTACTGTGAATTGTACAATGTATTTATCCTGCTTTTTATTCATTTTTTTTGGGGGGTACCAGGGATTGAACCCAGGGGTGCTTTACCACTGAGCCACATCTCCAGTCCTTTTTCATATTTTATTTAGACACAGGGTCTCACTGAGTGGCTCAGGCCTTGCTAAGTTGCTGAGGTTGGCTTTGAACTTGTGATCCTCCTGCTTTAGCCTCCCAAGCAGCTGGGATTACAGGGGTGCACTACCATGCCCAGCTACCTTGCTGCTTTATCTGTGTCTTCCACTGGTGATTAAGTCAGCAAAAACTTAAAAAAAAAATCATGTTATCCGGTGTGGTTTTATTTATTTATTTATTTAAAATGTAAAGTTTAGCTTGTTCTCATATCCATCACATAGATGGAATCTGCTCAGTAGGGGTTGCCTTCTGGAATCTGTAATTGGCTAGGAGGCCAAACCCTTGTGTTCTGATCCTCTCTACTTCTCCTCAGGCTGGAAGAACTGCAGAGCTTTCTCTTGTATAAGAACAAGTTGACCTACCTCCCATACTGCATGCTGAACCTCAAGAAGCTCACCTTGCTGGTCGTCAGTGGGGACCATTTGGTGGAGCTCCCAACTGCCCTTTGTGACTCCTCCACGCCATTGAAGTGAGTAGACCAGAGATCCTGGTAGACACAGTCAGACACAGGGAGAGAGCAAAGAGTCTCCAGAGCCTGGGAGCCTGTCTCCAGAACCAGATTAGATGGTTCTCCTCCCTAGAGAACCTGATCCCAGTTTGCTTTTCACTGGATTTGGAAGTTTGGTGCACATGGCATGAGAAGATAGAGCTCAGGGAACCAGGGAACAGGATTTCTGGACAAATGCTACTTGCTGATTGAAGGCATTGGGAGACAGATGTCAGGAGCCCCCTGTTGCTCAGCACAGACACGGCTGTTGTCCCTGCGGGGTCAGCCACTGTTCACAAAACCCTCCCTGGGTGCCTTGTCCTTTTGATTCCCTAAACGAACCCATAAACCACCCCAAGCTAAAATAAATCATCCATGCAAATGTGATACAAACAGACTGGGATCTGGGGGAGACATAGTCTTTCTTATCCTGGTCGTGGAAGCCCCAGCTCCATCATTCCCTCAAATGACTCTGAGATACCTGGTGTGACTCCCTGGAGCACATCCTGCCAAAATTTGGAGCTGAGGGGTTTCCCCTATCACTTCTACCCTGAGACCATTTTGGAGCCTTAGCAGCTTGGAGCCTTTCCCGAGCCTTCACCCGGGGAAGCTCTGGCAAGAACCACCTTCTCTCTGTGTCCAGAGACCCATCTTCTGTGAAGGCCACAGGTTCTCTCTCACTGGTAAATGCTCACTATCAACGTAGACTTAAGTCTTCCTTATCTCTCTGTCACTGCAGTAAGACATGTGGCAAACAAATACAGAGGTTTAACTACTGGGAAGTGAGAGACCTGTTTCATGTCTGTGTAAATGCAAGATTAGTAGAGGTACAAGACATTCCCCACCTGTTCCCTTCTATTCCTTCCCCTGGAATAGGTCTTCCAGGGTCCTCCTCCACTATGTTAGGAATGTTGTTTGGGGAGAAGATCACTGGTGAGACAGGTAGGAGGATCCAACCCATTTGGGCACCAGGGAACAGTCTTGGCAACTTTGCATCCGAGAGAAGTCAGGGTAGAACCATCGCATCACTGAAATAACTTCCAATAGTGTAGTTGTAGGATTTGGCAATCTCAGAATAATGGATGAAAGCTCTTTGAATTGACGAATGTTCAATAAAAAGATTAGATACAGGCTGGGCATGGTGGCACACACCTATAATCCCAACAATTTGGGAGGTTGATAAAGGAGCATTGCTGAGGCTGGCTTTGAACTTGTGATCCTCCTGTCTCAGCCTCCCGAGCTGCTGGGATTATAGGCGTGAATCATTGCTCTCTGCAAAGGTTGGCTTCTAACGTTAGGAATTTTTTGCTTAAACATGAACAGTTGGAAATGTGGTATTTTCCATGCTTCCTTGAATAGATTCATAAGTCTGATGGATAATCCTATTGATAAGGCCCAGGGTCAAGATGGTGATGAGATAATGGAAAGTGAACAGGAACGACAACATTTTGATAAAGAATTTATGAAAGCCTATATTGAGGATCTTAAAGAAAGAGGTGAGTTGCTCATATTTAAAATTATCTAAAACAAATATGAAGAATTCCACTGATCATACAATATATTTATTAACATAAATCATATTGACAAAAAGTTCATTGATTAGGGAGTCAGGTTACTCTGTAACCATTTACTCCTCACCAAAGAACCCAAATGATAAATTTCCTTAAAAATCATCCTTGAATGATGGACACATCATCAAGTACTGGGCAGAGAGGCTGAGAAACATACACTCGAGATGCAAGGGCTCTATTATTAACTGTTTGTGGATTTTAAACTAAATCATATTTGCAAAACAACATTCTATGCTAATGGGAAAATAAATGATTCCATTTCAAAAGTCTGCTTACATTTTTGGAAAAAGTTATATCATCTAAATCAAAAAATACCTGTGTAAAGAACACAAAAAGAGCCAGGCACGGTGGTGCACGCCTGTAATCCCAGTGGCTCAGGAGATTGAAGTAGGAGGATGGTGAGTTCAAAGCCAGCCTCAGCAATGGTGAGGAGCTAAGCAACTCAGTGAAACTCTTGTCTCTAAATAAAATACAAAACAGGGCTGGGGATGAAGCTCAGTGATTGAATGTCCCTGAGTTCAATCCTCACTACCCACCCCCCACCAAACAACAACAACAAAACAAACTCACAGAAGGAAAAATGCAAGATGCCTAATAATCACTGCTTAATTTTCCAGTTCTTTAATAGTCCAGGTGCAAGCCTCACAGAATTTAGGGAGGAGTTTGTGTGGACTCCACTGCCTTTGGGGATGGGCACTGTGGGCAGGTTGCCTCAGCCCCCCTCAGGAGACACCATGAATGTGAGCACTCTTCCCCCTCATTAGTAGGTGTCTGAATAATTAGTCATTCATACACTCAGAGATTTCATTGGCATTAATGAAAAATGCCATTTATTTGGCAAACTAAAAAACTTTAACAAAATGAAGATAATTTCTATTGCTACCTCTAATCTATTTCTATTGTTACCTCTAATCTGGCTCTTCCTAATCTCAAGTGCTGAATTATTCTGAAATAAAGTAGAAATTTATGCAAAATATGAAACCTAAGCCGAGCACAATGGTGCACACCAGTAATCCCAGTGATTCAGGAGACTGGGGAGGGATGATTCCAAATTTGAGGCCAGATTCTGCTGGTGAGCCCTGTCTCTAAAAAAAAAAAAAAAAGTATATATATATATATATATATATATATATATATATATATATATAGGCTGGACCAGGCTGGGGTTGTATCTCAGTGCACATGTGAGGCAGTAGGTTCAATCCTCAGCACCACATTAAAATAAATAAAATAAAGGTATTGTATCTATCTACAGCTGGACAAAAGGGGTGTGGGGGGTGGTGATACTGGGGGTGTGGCTCAGTGGTTAAGGGCCTGTGGGTTCAATCCCTGGTACCAAAACAAAACAAAAAAACTTTATTGTTATCTTTATTATTACTTTATTCATTTTTTTATATTTAGTGCTATTATGTAAAAATACAAGAAAGAACTAGAGGATATGGATATGAAGTTTTGAATCTAAGAGAATAGAAATAATAATTCACCTTTAAAGTCAATCAGTTAAAACTTATTTATTATTCAGTAGTTATTAATAGTGACAAAAATATAGAAATGTATTTACTTAAATGAAATACCTTATTTATGGGGCTGGGGATGTGGCTCAAGCGGTAGCGTGCTCGCCTGGCATGCGTGCGGCCCAGGTTCGATCCTCAGCACCACATACAAACAAAGATGTTGTGCCCGCCGATAACTAAAAAATAAATATTAAAAAAAAATTCTCTCTCTCTACCTCTCTCTCTCTTTAAAAAAAAAATACCTTATTTATGAAAGATACTTGTTTTTTAAAATTACCTTTAGTGATGATGAGTTTTGATCCATTCACTTATTTCTGAACAATTATAATAATTTGATCCTTTGTAAATATATTCATATTAGGTTGAATCAAATGATATTGCTAATATTCAGCTAGCTTTGACCTACAGAAATGGCAATTTCTTTTTCTTTTTTTTTTTTTTGGTGGTGCTGGGGATTGAACCCAGGGCCTTGTGCATGTGAGGCAAGCACTCTATTGACTGAGTTATATCCCCCCAACCCCAGAAATGGCAATTTCTTAAAGTCCAGTTAGATATGGTAATGTGTGTGCTTTGAATTTTTAAAAATTCTTTTGCATTCATTCATTCATTTATTTTGGTACCAGGGATTTGACCGAGGGGTACTTAACCACTGAGCTACATCCTCAGCCCTTTTTAATATTTTATTTAGAGATAGGGTCTCCCTGAGTTACTTTGAGCCTCGCTAAGTTGCTAGAGTGGCTTTGAACTTGAAATCTTCCTGCCTCAGCCTCCCAAACTGCTGGGATTACAGGCATGTGCCACCGCACCCCAACTGTTTGCTTTTCTTTATCTCAGTCTTCCCTTTTTTCTCTCCTTCCCCATCAGTCATAGAATCCATGTCTATCAGCAGAAAACACTAGAGTCTGCCAGTCCACCTGGACCTACAACCTGTGTGGTCTGAGGTTGATGAGGAGCTTGAAGCCCTCACTGTTCCTTGAACTCTAGAGGACCTTACACTGGAGTTTGGACTCTGGCTCTGTGGTGGGGTCTGCACAGGAGCATTTCTAACAAGCTCCCCGGTCGTGTTGGTGCCTTCAGTCTGAGACAACCCACATTTTTGAGAACCATTGGTACAGAACATCCTTGGACAAAATTTCGCTGTGAAGACCGAGGGATGGGGCAGTAACTAGTGGAAAGAGCAAGGCAGAGAGAAGGTGCACTTATTAAGGTCATGCTTGGATTAGGGATAGCCCAAATTTCTCTCTTCCACCTGATACCTATAGTCCCTGGTCTTTGCCCATCTATTTCGATTTTTATTATTTCAACTTTTATTATTATAGGGCTATATACTTTCTAAATCCTTGACACAGCTGTGTTAGTTGTTTGGAAAGATTGCCAAGGACAAGATTTTTTTTTTTTTATATTTTATTTTTTAGTTTTTGACGGACACAACATCTTTGTTTGTATGTGGTACTGAGGATCGAACCCGGGCCGCACGCATGCCAGGCGAGTGCGCTACCGCTTGAGCCACATCCCCAGCCCCAAGGACAAGATTTAATGATTCCATCTTACATGTAAACATTCCTAAGCTTGGCTACCCATTAGTGATGGTTAACTTAATGGTGATGAATTCATTATTCACCACTTAGACATTATCTATGCTTAAAATATTAAGTAGCAATAATAATAAAAGGGTGAATGACTAATGAAGTATTTATTTTTTTTTCTCCTCATAGAATCTGTGCCCAGCTATACCACCAAGGTATCTTTTAGCCTTCAACTTTAACATCATCCATCAGAAGACTGCAAAATCTCACCATCCTGTGGAGCTTTACAACTTTGTGCATAGGTCATGTCACATAGAAATCATGGCTTGTGTTTTAGGACAAAGTCTATTAACCACTGTCATAGTCATTAAGAAAAATAATTTTCAAATTTCAAGTATATGAATATCTTCCTCTATGGGCTCAAGAATTGATAAATTAGTTTATATATTGGTATTTATAGGTTCATTTGCATACAATTGTTTCTAAATAATGCACATTTAATATTATAGAAGGTTTTTTTTTTTGTAAAATTATAACTTAATGACCAAATTCTGACACTGAATGCATTGTTTTCAGAAATCAAGGGGTAAAGGATGGTGAAAAGAGCCTTCATATTGGACGAGTCAGATCATAGTTTTGTTATTTGAAAATGTTTAATACATTTTTTCTTTTACTGAGAGTAATTAACGTTCCTTGGATTTAAATGAACTGTTACTTCCATGATGTTTTAAATTATATTTTGGCAAGAATATTTGGAGCTCTGTTTTGGCTCTCAGAAGAGACCCAGGGTGTGACTTGGGCCTTAGGGGTGGGAAGGCTGCCCATGCATGGGGTTCCAGACACTCAGATGGGGTGTGGCTGTCCCTCAAGGAAGAAGTGTGAGCCCTGCTGGGGTGGAAAGTTTTGAATGGCCTGCCTGGACAGCAACCATCCTTTCCTGAGTGCCACCTTGGGGGTCCTGGGAGCTACCTGAGTACAGAAAGCAGAAGCAGTGCCCTCAGGGGGTCTTTCCTCCCAGGGGTCCACTTAGAGTCTGGAGACCAACTGCATACACTGCTGAGTTCATCCTGGGCAAGGCTTCCCTGTGGGTACTGCAGGAAAACACCACCCACAGTGACCATGGCCCAGGAGGCCCATGGGACTGTATGTTATAGCATAAAAGGTGGGATTCACTTCAGGGCTTTGTGATCTTAGGTCACATCACATGATTTGGATAAATCTTACAAAGTTCCTATTTTTATACAATTGTCTTAGATTAAGATAAACAAGATGTGACTGATTGTCTTGAAGAAATACTTAACTAGCTTTTGTGATTAAGAAGGAAAATGTGCACACATTCACTTTTATGGTCTAGCCTGGTGATGTCCAATAGTAGCTTTCAGCAGTGAAAGAAATGTTCTGTATCTTTGTCATCCAGCACAGTAACTGCCAGACACAGGGTTCTTGAACACTTGAACAGTGGTTGATGTGATTCAAGGACTGTATTTTAAGTGGAATTTAATTCAAGTAGCCACAAGTAGTTGCCCTATGTGACAACAAGGTATAGCCAATTGGAGGTTTTGGAAGTTAATCACCTTTCATCTCTGAAAGGTGATTTTAATTTTTCTTATCCAAAGAGCTAATCTGTTCTCAGAGGCATGCAGTTCAAAAAGGTTACTTTTAACACCCCAGGTTTTTGTTCAAGTCAATATTTTGGACAAGTTCAAATATTTAATCCTCATCAGATAGAAAATAAGCAGACCATTCTAAAACCACCTGGTAATGCTTCAATAAAGGGTTGTTCCAATTTGAAAACAAACTCTTGAGAAGTTTAAAAGATAAAAGGAGTAGGAAAATGAAAAATCGCTTTCGTTAACACTTTAAAAATATAATCAAGATTATTGGTTGCACTACTTGAAAGATTTTGAAGTTTTATCTCATGCCATCTATAGCCAAATGGAAACTATAAGTGAAAAGGGGAGTAGGTTTTCACACAGAGAGGCTGTCTGTAATTTATATCATTTTCTTTCATTCACTAAAACCAGTTGTCTCAGTGTCACATATAAATAAATGAAAAAAACTGCATTTACATATATTTCATGTTATATAATACTCTGAAAAGAAGCATGTTATTTGAATATGTTTATTAAAATACTACTTAATTTATTATATAAGTATAAAAATGCAGAAAGTTCCAAAAGTAGAAAATGCTTCTTAGTGGAAATATCCTAGAGATTTAAAATAAAAAACTTTACATGATCCATATGGACCCATGTATTATTATTATTATTATAAATTATTATTTTTGGGGCTGGTGATTGAACCCAGGGCCTCACACATGCTTGGCAAGTGCTCTGCCATTGAGCTCCAGCCCCAGGCCTTTTAAAAAATTTAATTTTGAGATAGAGTCTTACTAAATTGCTAAGGCTGGCCTGTAACTTGCTATCCTCCTGCTTCAGCTTCCAGAGACAGCTGGGATTATAGGTATGCACCACCATGCCTGGCCGCTGATGCCTAATTTGGAAAAGTTATTTACATAATAGAATATTTGTAGGAACATTAAAGGAATGAGAGAAGAATAAAATATTTCTTAGAAGAAAGGTCTTCTGGTTTCAAAATGGACAACAACATCCATTTTTTTCTATGAAGGAAATGTAGGAGAGGAAAGATTTCCTTTCTCATCCATTGCTAGGTTCATGGCTGTGACTTTGATAACAAAAGACAAATTAACAAGAAAAACACATTTAATGTAAGTTTTACATGATACGGGAGCCTTCAGAAATGAAGATCCAGCGGGGTGCGGTGGCGCATGCCTGTAATCCCAGTGGCTCAGAAGGCTAAGGCAGCAGGATCATGAGTTCAAAGCCAGCCTCAGCAATTTAGCAAGACCCTAAATAACTCACTGAGACCCTGTCTCTAAATAAAATATAAAAAAAGGGCTGGGGATGTGGCTTAGTGGTTAAGTGCCCCTAGGTTCAATCCCCAGTGCCCCACCCCCCAAAAAATGAAGGTCCAAAGAAACAGGTAAGCTTTTTTTTTTTTTTTTTGTAAGTTTGATAAAGAAGTAGATAGTTGTAGAGACATGACTGGAGGACCAAAGGGAATGACTAGTGGTGATAGACTTGGGGAATTTAGCAAGGCCTGTTCAGAAGCTTCTTGGCATCTCTATTGTTGTGAAGAAGAGTTTTCCTTTTTTTTTTTGCGTATGGTGGGGATACTCTGGGATAAGGATGTTATAAACTACTTCAGAGAGGAAAAGATTCTTTCCTGGCCTGCTGCAGGAGAAGAGTCCCCAAAGGTTCATGTGTTACGTGGCTTGGTCCTCATCTTGGCACTATTGAGAGGTGATGAAAACTTTTTTTTTTTTTAACTGGGGACTGAACCCAGGGGTGCTTTCCCACTGACCTACATCTGCAGCTCTTTTTTTTTGTTGTTGTTTCTTTTAAGTTTTGAGACAGGGTCTCACTAAGTTTTTTAGGGCCTCGCTGAGTTGCTGAGGCTGGCCTCTAACTTGCCATCCTCCTGCCTCAGCTTCTTGAGCCACAGGGAATACAGTCCAGTGTCACCGTGCCTGGCAGTGGGTCTCATTGAGAGGTCTTTGGGTCACTGGGGAATGTGTTCTTGAAGGATATTGTGGGACCCAGATCTTTCCCTCGCTCTCATTCTCTTCCTGGGCATCAGGGGAGTGGCTTTGCTGTCCATGTGCTGCTCTGATGATGTGCTGCCTTGCCACAGATCCTAAAGCGACAGGCCAACCAGCTATGGACTGAAACCTCCACAATTGACCCCAAATAACCCTTTCTATCCACAAATTGCTCTTCTCAGGTATTTCTTATGGTGTACTAGAAAGGTGACCACTGCATAAATCAGGAGAGAAGTTACGCTCTGTAAGAGTTGAAGTGGAGTGGAGGTTCCAGAACTTTATTTATTCATTTTAATTTAATTAACTCACCCCTTGCAGGGGTCTAGTCTTCCTAAAATATATGCCATGTCTGTGGAGAGTCCTTTGCGGCTCTTATGAATTAGCCTTTGCTGGATTTGTGTGCAATCAAGAATGTTGGAACTGAAGGCACAACACAGAGCCCTGTTCTGCCAAGTCCTGTGCAGAATCCTCCAGGTCCTTGCCAAACGGTATTCCTTGCAGCACAGGCTTAGTATGTTTGGGTGGCAATGTAATTAGAGCCCCAAAGAATTCTTATTATTTGTTAGAAGAGTTATTTCAAAATTGCCAGTGAGAAGCACTTGGTATTTAAAATTGAAAAAAATAAAATTGTACAGAGCAAACACTTCTCTTCAAGCTGCTTTTTCCAATATTCATGAGGCTAAGAACAATGTCCATCCTGTAAAGGGAAATATTAACCTCATGGAGTGAGCTGGAAGAGACTTCTGATTCTTTTTTTTTTTTTTAAATATTTATTTTTTAGTTTTAGGTGGACACAATATCTTTATTTTACTTTTATGTGGTGCTGAGAATCGAACCCAGAGCCCCACGCATGCCAGGCGAGCACGCTACCGCTTGAGCCACATCCCCAGCCCCAGAGACTTCTTATTCTTTAGGGCATCTCTCCTGGGATTCCTCAGCCAGCATGTTGCTGTAGGAGATATAGTGGTCAGGACAAAAGTGACTTATGTCTAAATCAGAATGTACCTGGTTTGAACAACAAGGACATCAGAAGCATTCCTGGTGCTGATGGTGACAGTGTCCAGTTCTAAAGCTCCACATGCCACTCTAATGGTTTTGTTTATTTATAGCATACTGGAAACTATGCAGGGGGAAACAGACCAGGGTTACTTGGGGGCAATCGTAGAGTTTATGAGTCAAGATATTCTGCAGTTGGGTTGAGCTGGATCCCTTCAGTATCTGTCTTGTCTCATATAAGATTTTCAGTTTCTGGAGTTTGGCTAATACATTTAGACTGTGCTCAAAAGTTTGATGACAAATAGCGAATCTACAGAGAATTTGCACCTGCATTTTTGCTATTTTCCCAACAGTTACTTCCAATAGATATATAAATATTATTTATGATATTGCCTCAAAAGTATGAACATGCACCACAAAAATTGCATTTTCTAGAAATGCAAATCAAAACCACAATGAGATATCACTTCACACCTGTTAGTATGGCCATGATAAACAAAAATCAAGAAAGAAATATTAGTAAGGATGGGGAGGAATTGGAACCCTTATGAACTGCTAGTGGGATTGTCAAATGGTGTAGACAATACGGTGGTTTCTTAAAAACTTAGAAATAGAATTTCCACAGGATCCAGCAATCACACTTGTAGGTGTCTATCCAAAATACGTGAAAGCAGGGTCTTAAGGAGATGTGCACACTTTTATTTTCACAGCAGCACAATTTACAATGACCAATAAAATATACATTGATAGATGAATAAACAAAATGTGGTATATACGCACAATAGAATAGCATTGAGCCTTGGGAAGGAAGAAGATTCTGACACGTGATACAACCTGGATGAACTTTATTGGGTGTGGTGTGGACATTGAACCCAAGGCCTGAATGCTCTACCACTGAGATCCATGCTCAGCCCTCATGGATGCACCTTGAGGACAATTATGCTAATTGAAATAAGCCAATCACAAAAAGACTAATACTGTATGATTCCACTTCTGTGAGGTATTTAATCAAGTTCATGGAAAGAGAGTAGAATGGTGATTTTTCAGGGGCTAGAGGGGAGGGAGAAAGAGAAAATTATTATCATTTTTTTTATGGTGCTGGGGATTGAACCCAGGGCTTTGTGCATGAGAGGCAAACACTCTACCAACTAAGCTATAGCCGTAGCCCAAAAGTTATTTTTTAAATGGGTGTAGAGTTCTGAAGATCTGTTTCACAACAATGTGAAAGTAACTATGTGATTCTATACTTTAAAGTGGTTAACATAGTCAATTTTATGTGTGTGTGTGTGTATCACCACAATTAAAAATAATTACATTTTGTTTTGTAAACTCCAATGTCAAGTCTGGCTTACAGTTACCTCTTCTGTGAATCAAAGCTCTCTGAAGTCTTGTGCTGAGTTTCTGTTCTTCAATAATCCTTTCCAGTTAACTTCTTGTTATCGTCACCTTTGCCAGTTTTACTCTAAAAACACTCTCATTATAGAACAGAGGACATAATGATCATTAACTAACACTGAAATTAAGGTGACATCATAATTTAAGTAATTAGAGTCTTGCAGAAGCCAAATTCTCTGGGGCTGAGAAATGACATCGGGGAAACTCTGTATGTAGTAATTTAATCTGACAAATTAAAATAACACTCCTCCACAGGAGACTTCTGTTAGTGCACAGCTCCCACTTCTATATCTGAAGTTCCTCATAACCAGATGTTTCTTATTTGTTTAGGAACAATTTGCTGGATTCAAGGTCATCAGTCCAGCTTGCCATTCCCCCTCCTTGGTTCTAGGGGGGCTTTCCTATGACATTTCCCACTTGTGCCACTATTTTCAACATTTCTACTGAATAAACCTTTAGGAAAGAGCAGTCAGAAGCTTAGATTGTGACCCAAGAGGGGGCCAAGAGATTGTCCATTAGGACAATAAAGGACACAATACCTTTATTTTATGTATTTATTTTTATGTGGTGCTGAGGATCAGACCCAGGGCCTTGCATGTGCTAGGCGAGTACTCTACTGCTGGGAGCCATTAGCCAAGTAGGTATGACAATTTCCTTGCCAGCGTACCCCATGTTGCAGTGACATTGAATGTACGTGACCTTGCTCAAGGACCAAGGCAGATTAGGGTGTTCCCGGTTTTAAGATAATCGTGTTTAGGGCGTTCCCAGTTTAGGTTCCAGGTTTAAGGTTTAAGATTATTCCTGCTGGGAATAGGGCGTATCCTGCTGCCTGAGTTCCCCTTGAGTTCTCACAGGATTCAGACAGTATATTTTGGAGACAGAAGCCCAGTGGAGGTGGATTTGGGCAGAGAACGTGGATTTCCCCAGAACGTGATTGTAGACGGCTGGTGTGAGTTCGGGAATAAAGAGTTGCTGTTTGAATCTACAAGCTGTGTGGTGGCTCGTGATTGTGTGCCCAGCCAGACTGCGGCATTTGGCGGCTCGTACGGGGAACTTCTGAAGCTTGGAGGTAAGTGAAATTGCTCGCCCCTGAGGAAGAGCGAAAGAATGGGTGACCAACTCAAAAAACAATGTGTTATTGTTTTGATTTATCTTGTTTTTGTTTCAAGCTGCCTATCCCTAGAAATTTCTCAGGCAAACTGGAAAAAATGGTTGACTAAAGGTTTG